TTGGGCTCAGGATGTGAGTTTAAGCTTATCAACTGAACATCCAGATGAACCTGAGTTACAACCTATCTGTAGGGCCCCATTTGCCCAATGTGAAAATAGAATAACAGTATATGCTTCACTAGGCAGTTGAAAAGTAAGTGAGAACACATGCATTTATAAAATGTACAGCACTGCATAGATGTAAAAATTTTGACTATAAGATTGTTATAATTTCTATTTGTATGCTAGTTGTTAAGAATTTCAAGTCGAATATGCCTGGTGGTATTAGCTTTTTAATAAATCAAATTTTACTTACTACTTTGGTTACTCAAAACCTCTAGGTAGAAAGAAATGTTATTCCAATCAACACAAATTATTGTGCAGCTGTGCAATGACTAAAACCCGGTCTTTATTTTAAGGAGGCCCTTCAAGGTACTTCCTATAAATCCATGCATTTAATGAACCACCCCTTCCAGTTCAGGATAAATAAAACCGCCCAATTCGCCAATGCTTCCAGTGAGAGAAGGAATTTCCAAAGGCCTTGAAGATGGGGAGGTGGCTCAGGAATACCTTGACTTGGTCCTTAGAAAATGGATGTACCAGAGTGTGGCACCAGCTCACAATCGGAGATCAGCCTGGAGTTCTAACAATAACATACTGTGCTATTATGGAATGAGTTTAGGGAGCAGATAGTCTGGTTGCTTTCTTTCAGATGCTGCCAAAAAGATTGAGGGGATGTAATCTGGAATCAGGTAGGAGCTCTGTTAAACATTACTTAAATATACTGCTTCCTTCCTCTTTGGAAAAGGATTACAGGTTTTCAAATGATCATAAAAATAGGCTAGTAACCAAAAATGAAGACATTTAGTGTGCTTTCTAATTTCAAGTAAAAGCCATTTTGACCTTGTACTCTTCTAGTTCTCTTCCTTTCTATTTCTCTATTTCTTTTATGGCCTGATTTTTCCTCCTCCTTCAACTCTCAAATTTTAGCATTCCTATAGTTATTTGGGGAATTTTCAGCTTCCTCCTACCCTTCCTTTCTTGTTCCAGGTGTCATGTGCCTCTCTACACCTCTCCCTCTCTACACCAGCCCACTCTCCGCTCACTCCTCACCTCTTCTTCCTCTCTTCCACCACTCTCCTGAAAAGTGTGGTTTACCTATGGACCCACATTCTCCTAAAACTTACTTAATCTCTCTGGGATTCAGTTTTCTCATCTGTATGTGAGTACTAATAATAGTACTCACCTTCTGGTATTGCTAAGGAATTAAATAAAGTCATATTTGTAGAAAAAAAAGGTTTTTACAAATATAAATAGCATGTGAACAGGCAAATGAGGATATCTTTAACACACTCTCCCTGGCTTATCCATATTTATTATCAGCACCTCCATACTTCAGTTATTAAGTTCAAATGTTTTGAAGGCATTTTCTACTCCTCCCCCTCTCAAGTTTGCCTAAACCCAATTCTAATCAAGTTTTATTAAAGGCATCTATAACTGTCAATCGTAATAATTAGTCAAACTGGTTATTTGAAACAAGTTCTATGCACCCTAGCTGGTTTGGCTCAGTGGATAGAGCGTTGGCCTGTGGACAGAAGGATCCCGGGTTTGATTCTGGTCAAAGGCGTATATCAGGTACTGGTTCGGGCATGTGCAATGTATTTCTCTCACATCAATATTTCTCTCTGTCTTTCCTCCTCTTTTCCACTCTCTCTAGAAATCAATGGAAAAAATATCCTCGGATGAGAATTGAAAAAAAAAAATTCTATGCTAAACTAGCATTAAAATAGAATTTTAATTATTTGCTTCACATTAAAACATCATAGATACTGTTAATAGCTGAAACTTTTTAGCATCCTAATAAATACCTTTGAATATTAAGATTTTATTCAATAAAAAATTTATTTATTATCAATTCATGCATTTATTCATTCCATAAATATCTAATGGTGCCTGTTATGTGTCAGGTATAAATTCTACATATTGGGCATACAGGGATTAACAAAACAAAATCCTGCCCCCTCGTGAAGTTCATCATCTCATTAAGGGAATGAACAGCATGCATATTAGTCATGCAATAATAATTTTGGATCTCGAATTTAACCTAATCTGAATTACTTTCTAAATGAGTAATCTGAGATCCAGTGAAATTAGTGACTTGCCCAAAGTCACTCAGTTATTTAATGGCAAATGCAGAACAGACCCAAACCCCCATTGGCTGCAGTGTGTTTCAAACATGCTCCTGTAAGAGCTGGAAGTCCTTCTTAAATGAACTAACAAAACAGAAATAGGCTCATAGACTCATTGCCAGAGAGAGTTTAGGAGACTGCGCAAAAAAGGGGAAGGGATTCAGAAGTCCAAATTAGTAGTTATAAAATAGCCATGGGGGTGTCAGGTACAGCATAGGGAATAATATTATAATAACTAAGTATGGTGCCAGGTGGGTACTGGAAATATTGGGGGGTCACTTTGTACAGTATATGATTTTCTAACTGCTATGCTATACACCTGAAACTAATAAAAATAATAATAATAAATGTAAACTGAAATTTAAAAATAAAATATCTTTAAAAGATTTGGAATTTCTTCACACCATCCTCAGAGACCACCTCGGAAGGGAGGACTGAGCTGGTGGGATTCAAGGCACCCCATGCCACTTTAATCAGAGAGGTTTTGTGTTTATCTGGGTTGTATACTGAATCTCAGGAAAAGATTCACTTGATCAATTTGACCTGCAAATTTTATGTTCATAAACCTACTGCCCTCTAATGGACGGAATCTCCTGAGAGGTTCAATAATCAGAGGAACATCCCAGATTCAGTTACAGATTCCGGAATTCCATGTTCTTCCATGAGAGATCTATGCAAAACCATCAAAGTTATGTGGATAAGAACTCATTATTTTTTTAAATATATTTTATTGATTTTTTTACAGAGAGGAAGGGAGCGGGATAGAGAGTTAGAAATATCGATGAGAGAGAAACATTGATCAGCTGCCTCCTGCACACCCCTCACTGGGGATGTGCCCGCAACCAAGGTACATGCCCTTGACCGGAATCAAACCTGGGAACCTTCAGCCCGCAGGCCAACGCTCTATCCACTGAGCCAAACCAGTTAGGGCAAGAAGTCATTATTTTAACTGTGGATGTTCTTGAATAGGAATTGAAATGTCTTGGATAATTTAAGTTTCCAAACAATGCTTTCTGAAGTTATTTTTTAGTCTGGGTGTGTTAGTCTCTGAGGAAGCTAACTTGGCTGAATGGCTGTTAAGTCTCTCAGGGGTTGTCTTGTCGCTTGTGCTAAATTCTGTCTCTGGAGACAGCTTTACAGTGTGGGCCTGGAATGATTTGTATATTTGGTGGCCTAAAAAAAGGATTCTGTGGAAATCATCGAGAGGAAAAATGTGACCTCTTCTTGCTTAAAACTTTGGGAGGTGCCCCTTTATCTTTATGTTAAATTTCTCTTCCTGCTTTAAAGTAATATAATTGATCATTTAAAATTCTAATATGAATGGAATACAGAAAAAAAAAACATAGACAAATTGCAATATGTTTAGAGATAAGAAACTCAAACAGCCCAGCTGGTGTTGCTCAGTGGTTGAGCATCGACCTATGAAGCAGGAGGTCACGGTTATATTCCTGGTCAGGGCACATGCCTGGGTTGTGAACTCAATCCCCAGTGCAGGGTATGCAGGAGGCAGCCAATTAATGATTCTCTCTCATCATTGGTGCTTCTATCTCTCTCTCTCCCTCTCCCTTCCTCTCTGAAATCAATAAAAAAAATTTTAAAGAAACTAAAACAGTGATGTACTCTAACTCGAATAATTTCAGCCATGGTTAACAGAGCTAAGAATGTTTATCTTGCAGAATATAGACCCAGATGGCATGGTAGGTATTTTTAAATTTTGGAGGGCTCCAAAATCTTCCATGTACTGCCAAAGCATTGAATTAGAACCAAGAATGGAAACCTGAAGAAATAAGTCTCTATTCAGTTAAAAATGGAAATCTCAAGAAACGACTTTTATTCCGTAGCAAGAACTCTCTAGCTGCTAGAGCAGGGGTCCTCAAACTTTTTAAACAGGGGGCCAGTTCACTGTCTCTCAGACCGTTAGAGGGCCGGACTATAGTTTAAAAAGAAACTATGAACAAATTCCTATGCACACTGCACGTATCATATTTTGAAGTAAAAAAACAAATGTTTTCGGCAGGCGGCATGTGGCCCGTGGGCCGTAGTTTGAGGACCCCTGTGCTAGAGTCTAGCACGCCACCTTGGGAAATATAGTAGTGAGTTTCCAACCAGAAGAAGTTGTCAAGCATGGCCTAGAAAACCACTAAGGAGGTGTATTAGAAAAAGATCAAGTATCATATGTACAGTTGGGCAAGATCAGTATCCTTTCCAGATGTGAGACCTTTGAGAAATCATAAAAGCTGTAGGTCCTCTATTTAGACAAAATGAATAAACAACAAAAATTTCTACAGTATCATAGGATTCATGGATCCCTGATTTTCTGTAATTCTAATTTTACAATGATAAAGTTAAAAGGTAATAGCTAAAGTTCTTTCTCCAATTTGAAAATGCTAAACACTAAGTTTCCTACACTATGTAGGCTATGAAGTTGAGTTGGGATATTTGTTGATTGTTTGGGTTTTTGTCATTTTTTTGTTTTTTGATGACCATAGAGATGAGGGTGTGATTAAGAAAGGATTCCTGGATCTCAGTTTAATGTCTTTGACTGAAATTTCATGGACAAAGGATGGCAGCAGGAGAGCCCTTTTGCTCAGGCAGTAACTTGATCATTTTCTATCAGAAAGATGAGAAATACAAGCAAAAAGGGCAGATATAGCTAGTTCTCTAGGTTGGAACCCACAGGAATACATCCATCTTAGTGAAGTAGGAATAAAACAAAAAGCAACGCTCTAATAGCAAGGCATTATTGAGATTTGGTGAAATTAGAAGGATAATTACTCAACTCTGCAAACTCACTTCTACTCCCAATACTACACCAATACTGCTCATCACACTTCATTAGTATCCCCTCATTGATAAATCAATGCATTTTCTTTCTTTTCTTTAGGTCAGTGAAGGTCAAAGAAAGGACTGGAACATATATCACAGAAGGAATCATTACTATCGTGGATATATATACGGCCACCAATCACCGTTTCATTCTCAGTTTCGACCTGACAGGGCACAATTCTTTCACTTTACTCATCACCGCAGATACTACAGACCTATACATTCAAACTGGGAAAGATACAGAGACCAAAAACATTACTGGCCACCGAAGTGTTTAGATAAAAATAACACCGTCATCGAGAATAATACTTCAGAGGCTACCACCCAAGCTCCACTTATAAATCTCACATCTAATTCTGTCAAAACTACTCCCTCTCAAGATGTGAAACCTACTCAGATTTTTGTCACCACACCTACAAGAGAAAATACTCGCACCACAGACATATTCGCTGTGGAATCAACACAACAACCCCCAAATACACAAACACCACAACCTTCTTCGGCCTCACTAGAGAATACAATTTCCCCTGCTGCTGAACAAACAACTTTATCTCCTACTCAAAATACATTTCTTCAATTATTGCAATATATAGATAGCATAGTAAAGTACCTTTCTGATTTTATAAAGAATTCATAGTACATCATACATTATGAAGTGCTCGATCGTTAGATAGGATTGATGAGTGCAGAACTACTACCTTTACTTTCATCACTCTTCTCAAAGTAAAATTATAATATTCCTTAAATTTACAGCACTATCACTAACCTTTGAATATATACACCTCACATGACCTACTAGCAAGAAAAACAAACTCTAGCTCACAAAATCATGTGCATGACCATGATTTAGCATCACTTTGTGAAAACTATAGAGATAGCACACTGAGGGAGGGAATGGCCATCAGATAAAAAGAGAAAATTGTATGAATCACCAACCATTTATTATTCCCTAAATGTTGGAAATGATAAATTCACTACATTGTTCCCCTAAACCAAAACTCACCTAAGTTATCTAATCCACAAATAGAAAGAATAAAATGAAGTCTCTCTAAATGAAGAAAAATATTTCATTATCTATAGATAGACCTGTCATTGTATTACTGATTAGTGGCAAAAATCCTCTAAACAATTGTGTTTAACCTTAATTCCATTGCACAAAATATGAACCAAGGACAGGGAAAGTTGATTCAAAGTGCAAGGGAAATCTGGCATCAAGCACAAATGAAGACTCCAACACTTGATTTCTGTGAGCATGTAATTATTCAGGCTTCACGATTGACATTTATTATATTATATCTATGTTAATTTCAATCTAATGTGCTTGATTCTAGACTGTGTGAACCACTAAGAAGACTTTCTATGTTATGTTCACATGATGCTCATAATATTTTAATATTAATTCAAGTAATTCAATTTACTACTAATGAAATTAATTTATATTAATTCAATGTGAAATGTATTCAACAGTGAAATATTCTCTAGACCTCTTAGCCATATGTTTAAATGTGTTTTAAAGAGAACCATGTCAAAGTACTGCCCTGGTGTCAATTTTGCAAAATCGTCTTTGAAAATAAACCCTAACTCTAGTCAGTAGAAGAATAAACACTATCCACTTGATATATAGAGATAATGTTCATCTGTGATGTGGAGGTATTTTCATTTTCTGTCACTACTTCTAAGAGCTCTAATGATTATATTTAAATTTTTTGCCAACTAATAAAGGCTTTATGCAGCAATCTATTTTCATTTTGTGTATTCGAAGCTCCTTGTCTCACTTAGATTCTGAGATGGGTGAAAAGAGATTTAAATGAAGATTTGCATTTCATTAAAACTGCCACTAATTAGTCAGTGACCTGGTTAGGGCAATCAATATCTCTGAACATCAATTACTTTCATCTTTCAAATAAAGTGGTTAATTTACTTAAATTAACTTAATATTTACTTAGTCTTACTTATTAATATGTTTCCAACCCAGATATTGTGTTTGCCCTATGCTTTTCACTTAACTCTCTTCCTTCTAGTCTCATCTTAGTGTCGATCTGTTTTTATTTTAAAGGAAGAATAGTAATTTTCTCTAAGAATACTCCCCAGTTTTAGAATAGTCAAACTATAATACCCTAAGGCTGAAGACTTCACAATTATCAGCATGTACTTCACTTATATGAACTGAAATTCTAGGTCAATATATAGGATGGAATGGAATGGAAGGAATGGAATGGAACAGAATGGAATAGAATAAAGAATCACATTATCCTCACCAAGAACTGTGTACATTGTAACAAACACTATACCAAATTTCCTTGAGCACTGTGAGAGACAAAGAAGAGGAAGTGATTAATATACGGATTAATCAGAAATGGGTTATGTAGTCTATGGCCTTTTAGTATTAGATTTCTGGTATCTGATTATGTGTCTTATCATTATAGAAAAAAGTTCATATTATACAATTTCTTTTTGCTAACATAATGTGATTAGTTAGGAAGCAAAATGAGGAAGAATTCAATCTCTTTTTGGAAAAAATATCTAAAAACTTTGTAAAAGAAAATATACAGATCAACAATTTTAAAGTTTGTGACAATTGCACTTTTTAGTTGAATCTTTATAAATTGCCTTTAAAATAGCTCACCAATGTCCCATATACCAAGAGGTCGCTGGTTCGATTCCTGGTCAGGGCACAAGCTGGGGTTATGGGCTCAATCACCAGTAGGGAATGTGAAGGAGGAAGCCAATAGATGGTTCTCTCTCATCAATGTTTCTGTCTCTCTTCCCCTCTCCCTTTCTCTCTCGTTCTAGAAATCAATAAAAATTGATGCTCTAATGCATTACTCATAATGATATTCTTGAAAATGAAAGCTTATAACCTCCAAATTTAAAAGACACTGAAACCAAGCAGCTTTACTTCTTAAAATCACCAAATATCCTCAAAGAATGAAAATTGTTAAGCTTAGGCAAAACTATTAATAATAAGTATATGGAAGAAAAAAATGGATTATTAAAATATTAAGAAATTTTTCCTTTTAGTGTGTGTAAATATCGTGGGTTTTTTTAAATAAATCAGCAAATTAATTAAAAACTACTTCTCTTTATGATAATTCATGATTCCTTTCCTGTTGGTGCTATAGGAAAGACAAACACAGTGGCTTAAAACAATATTTATTGTTCTATAATCTGAAAGCTGGAAGTCCTAAAATCAAGGTGTTTGCAAGACTGCATTCCTTTTGGAAAGCCTAGGGGACAAACTGTGTCTTTGTCAGCTTCTCAAGGACACCTTCATTTCTTGGCTTATGGCCCCATTCTTCAAAGCCAGCTGGAAAGCATCTCCAAATCTCTCTCTCTCTCTCTCTCTCTCTCTCTCTCTCTCTCTCTCTCTCTCCCCCTCTCCCCCCCCACCCCCGTTTTGCTTTAGCCTTCCTCTCTTCCTTATAAGAACATTTTTTATTATAGTTGGCCCATTTGGATGGTTCAGGATAATCTTTCCACCTCAAGGTTCTTAACTTAGTAACATCTTCAAAGTCCCTTTTTCCATGTAAGATAACAGATTCACAAGTTTGGAGATTTGGACATGGCAGCTTCAGGGGGCAATTATTCTGTCCGCCACAATTTATCAGCTCATCAAACATGTACTAAGAAGAGTATTTAGGAGCATTGTTTATTCTGCTGGTACAGCCTGACATGTATTTTTGCCATGTAACTTAATGATAGCCTTGATAGAGGAAATTATATGACTCTTTAATATATACCAGATAAGTAGTACATGGCAAGATGGCTTTATAAAGAAGTTGTTACGAGCCATGCTGTTTATCAGATCCTTACGCTGTCTGGTATATTAGTGCTGGTGTTCAAGATACCCTGATTTTACTTCGTAATGACCTCCAAGTGGGAGATAAGTGCTGCCTGAGATTCAGAGGCGCCACGGAGTCGGACTCAAGTGCTTCGTGTAAGTGAAAAGGTGAAAGTTCTCAACTTATTAAGGAAAGGAAAAGCTAGCATGCTGAGCTTGCTCAGATCTACAGTGAGAGCGGATCTTCTCTCCGTGAAAGAGGAAAGCCAGGCTTGACCTTGGGCGGGGAGGGTGTGTTGGTCACACTGAAAGGTGGACCAGAATGTGGCTGGGTCCTCCTCCAGAGAGCTCCTGGGTTCTGGGGTGCCGGCAGGATTTAACTCGTGGCCTCACCACAGACAGTGTTTTGGGATTTGGCTGCTCTTAGGATCTTGTGCCTGGAAATAGCCTGAAGTGGCCCAGGGAGCAGAGCATTGGTGCCAGTAGTTCTCTAGCAGGGACCAGGGCCCAAGGCCCCAGGGCTGGAAGGAGACCAAAGAGGTAGCTTCCCTGGAGGGATACGGGAGCTTCCTCTGACCCAGCTCTTCCCCTGTGCTGTCCCTAAAGTGGCTGCCCCAGCTACGGATACCTGCTTCTTCCAGAGAAATAAAACTAGTTTCTATTTTATGTTAAAAAAAAAAAAAGATAAATTGGTGCTGTTTTGCGGTCGCACCTCAGACGGCCAACATTCTGGCCAGATTGAGCCATAGGTGCTTAATGATGGAAAAGGCGTTAGAACCCTGGCTAGTTTGGCTCACTGGATAGAGCGTCCACCTGCTGACTGGAGGGTCCCGGGTTCAATCTCGGTCAAGGGCACGTATCTCGGTAGCAGATACCCCAGCCCTGGTCGGGTGAGTGCAAGAGGCAACAAATGGATGTTTCTGTTTCTCCCTCTCCTTTCCACTCTCTCTCTCTAAAAAAAGCGGGGGGGGCGGAGGGGGGGAATATCCTCGGGTGAGGAATAACCCCAAAAAAGAGGAAGGAAGGAAGAAAGAAAAAAGGCATTAGATTTGTGGGTGGAAGACATGAACTGAAACTGTGTCCTGATGGAGGGCAGACACTGAGCCTTTAGCAAGGGCCCCCAGACATGAGGGACACCAAGCCATTGACTGCAAGTGAGGAACAGTACGACTTCTTTATGTCTCATGGATCAAGGCTAACCACATGGCCAAGGCCAGAGTCAGTGAGGAAGGGAGCCTCACAAGGATGTGGACAGAGAGAGTATAATCCATCAGCGGCCATTACTCTAATACACACCAAGAAGTATTCCTGCACAGCCTGAGACGATGCTATAGTGCCTCATTTTCTACTCTTTGAACCCAGAACTTCTCCTTTTAAACACTTAATTGATTGTTTAACTTGATATTTAACTTCTGACTCCCTAGCAAAACATGCTCCTGGAGACAGAGATTATATCTTGTTCACTACTCTGTCTTTAGCACAAAGTGAATGTTTGTGCATGGTAAGCAAAAAAATAAATAAATAATAATAATAATAATTTGTTGCATTGCTTAAATTTAACCTTACATACAAGTGCGTTAAATATATTTACAAAACTGACAAAAATGGTTAATATAATTAAATTGGGAGATGTATTTATATATCTAGAAATATAAGATGAACTCTGTATGTGATCTTGGATCATTAGACTTCGCAAAATCCCAGGATGAAAGAACATTAAACACATATTTAAGATTATTAACATTTACTAGAAGCCTGGTGCACAAAATCCGTGCACAGGGTGAGGGGAGGGGGGCCGGGGACCTCAGCCCAGCCTGCAGTGACACCAGCGTCCCTCACACCAGCCTCCGGCCCGAGGCCCCTCCCCTCCCTTTGCACATCCAGGGCCCCTTCCTTTCCCTCCCTCTGCGCAGCTGGGGTTCGGACACTGGGCTTGAGTTGCCAGGGCGATGCCGCCAGCATCCTGCCCTGGCCACTATGGGCCATCTTTGTCATGGAGTGATGGTTAATTTACATATTACTCTTTTATTAGATAGGATTATTGAATCTAGTTATTACATAAGTCATTGAGAGTATATGACCACCAGTTGACCCTCAAGCTGGATCTGGGCAATCAGAGGCTCCCGACCTTCGCCCCTATTCTACGTGCCTTCTCTGCACTAGAAGCTGCCTGAAGGATGCAGCCTTGAGAGAGTAATGTGTTTTTGACACCATGCATGACTGACCCCAGTTGAGGCCTCTACATTAATTTTTAAGATTTTGCACCCTAGTCAAGCCTCATATGAATGTTCCCTGGCTTATTAAATCTGCCACCTTCCAAACTGGAGTGGTCTGCCTCTTTCTTCTGTCTCTCCTTGCCCTCTGTGTAAGGGGATCAGTTTCAGCTTTCACCTGAAAGCTCTCAAAGCTCAATAGCGCACGTGGTATTTAAATTCACTTTACAATTAAGAATACTGTTGTAAAAGCAAGAAGAAATAATGCATTTAAAGATTTAATTAACAAACACTGTCTTTGACCTTCACCACATTATCCCAAGGAACCTACCATGGACAAATAAAACTCAGATCTTCCTTCCTGACACAAAAGAATATTATAAACTACAGGCCCAGTGCACAAAAATTTGTGCACTCGGGGGGAAGGGGGGTCCCTCAGTCCGGCCTGTGCCCTCTTGCAGTCTGGGACC